ACGACATTTGAAAATTATCCCGCATTCATACTTCATTCCTAAGGTTAAAAATAATCGTTATTTCTCAGAAATAAATTTCGATTTTTCGTTTATAAGAAACACATGCGAGATAATTTTCAAATGTCGTTTTACAATCATAAGCCGCATTATATTGTATTATAAATATTTATTTGTAAAAACGCGCGATAGATTGGATAGATGACATCAGGTTTTGACGTTTATAATGACAGAAAGGTGATCTTTATTTTTATATATAACTTTTATTTCCTATCAAGCGGTGCCTAGAGCATCGCCCCCCCTCTTTGAGCGTTGAGGGAGGCGTGCGTGTTTTTAACACTTTGGCGTTGAGAGGTCGCTAATGAGGAAGACTGGAGCCGTCGTCTGGGTGGAGCCTCTTTAGGCCAGGTGTTTGGCATTCCCGTCCGGCTCGGGCACCGACAGACAATATCCTATCAAAATCTCCATCTATAATTTGGAAATAGATTTATCATTAGTCACTTTTCCAACTAAACATCTATTTGGTCTATTGTGAAGATTCCATTAAATTTCTTGAGGATCTCATGGATTAAAATCCGCCCTATGCTGGTTCATATATATGTGATTCGGTCCGAGAAAAAATATATAGCGATTGAATTGTTTAATTTTCATAAAGCGTTAGAGAACAAGGTAATCTTTAAGAACTAAAATTACAGAACAATTTCCTTCCATAGTTAATTTGTATAGTTATGTTGAATACTTTGATTTCCTTTTCATTCTCACCAACTCTCCTTTGTTTATGTTTTTCCCCCTTTCTTCATGAAAATGATGTATGGCGAGTCCTTACAGGGCGGAAATGTCCTAATAAAGCAGTTGTTGTTGTTGTATATGTGATTCGATATATTATTATAAAAATACCTTCATCAATCCACATAACAAAAACTTTTATATATACATAAATTCGGCAAAACTCTGAGAAAGAGAGAGGATTCATCACTCTGATCAACCAAACCCTCTCATAGAGTATTTTCTATCATCGCAATAAGTTCTGCAGAGGTAGTCTAGGGTTTAGTTAGAGCCCCAAAATATATATTGATTATATTCAAAATATTCCTTATTTTACATATAAAAATATTAATATTGTTTTATTTATTGTGAATATATATACTGAAATAGTTTATATATGTATGCATAACAATTTGGAGGTATGTTTTAAAATGTTTTTTTTTATTGCAGAAGAACTTGGAGTTCCCCCAACAAGAATAAAGAATTTCAAGTATAAAACAGAGGTAGGTTTCTATAATAAAGTTATCTTCAACAACATCAATACATTCATGGACAACACTTAAAGAAGTTGTACCTTTTAGCATGTATATCGGTATTCATATAATAACTTTGAGAGATATTTGATACCCCGTGACTTTTATTCAAGATACGCGATATAATCAAGTCTGAAAATAATTGTCTCTGTTTCCTTAAAAAAAAAAACAGACGACCGGTGACATAAAGGAGTTTCCACTTTCTTAAGTTTTGTCCATGAGTGTAATACATACAGCATATCAAAAACACATAATTAATTATAATATAAATTTCAATAACAAATATCACAACACACATGTCTTTAATTTTTGTTTTTATTTTTATTTTACCTGTAGAAGGGCATTGCCCGAAAGCTTGTAATTGTTTTTTTACAATTAAAAGAAACTCATCTTCTGAAACTTCTTTCTTGATATATTTTACTGGAAGAGTCTTTGACCTTTACACATGTCTATTGGTAAATTTGGTAATCATAAATATTTTGAAAGTAACTATATAAATAGTAATAATTTTTTTCATCTATATATTTCTTCTCAACCCATAATTTGTAATTTACAGTAACCCTGTCCTTCCAGAACTTCCTTTCTTTTAAAAATCCAATCTTTTGAGGATGAAATTATGAATATTTTTTCTAAATTGCCCATGAATTATATTATGAGCCTTCATAATTTTCCTATGTTCTCACTATATCTCCTCCAGCAACACCGTCAACAACTAAGACAAGAATTACAAACATACTGACTCTCCTCTTCTTAATTATTTTAAAAGCGATTAATCCAAAACACATGTTTTTCAAATCATGAAACATTTATTCTGTATTTTATATGTTGATGTAATTATACAAATGATTATAGATGCACTTATAGACTTGCGTTTTGTGTCGTTTTAACAGAAAAAAAAACGTTTTGACAATAAAAACGTTGTAGTATTAATGGTTACCTTTTCTCATGTTTGAATTGTGCACTTTCCAACCATCACTAATGACCTTTATTATCACAAATCCGTTGAAATTATAAAAAATACATTCAAAATTGGTGAACAAAATACATCATTTCCCTCGTATATTTGTGAATATTGTGTCCTTTGGATAATTCTGTCTAGTTGTGACTTGTAAATCGGACATACATTTGAATTTGATTTATGGTTTGTAGAAAGGTTTTTAAATTTAGGGTGCTTAGAGCAATTTTGACAATTTGGTACTTCAGTGCAGTTATGGCTACCCTGTACACCGCATATTTTACATATTTTAACAAGTCTTTTGTTTTGTGGTTCGAATTAATTCAAATGGATTAATTCAAAACATTTTTTGCATTGTCTGACAAATATTCTGTCTTGTATAGAACATCGCTCAAAATCTGTGTATAACTCATTACCCGTTTTTCTTTTATTTTAATAGACTTTAGTTGTGTTCTTTTTTTAAATTATATATCGGGATTCATACAATATCTCTGTAAGATATTACAGTGACCTTTATTGAAGACGCATAATAGAACCAAGTGTGAGCAACCTCTGTCTCCTTCAAAACAAAATCAACAGGCGACATCAAAGACTCTCCACTTCCATAATTTTTGTCCATCAGTGTAATAATAACAGTGTTTATTTTGGCTATATGAATTTTTGATGATACATTTCTTCCTGAATATCCCATTTTTATTTAAGATCTCTTTCTTATAAGATATATTATTATTATTATCATATAGATATATTATCATAAGATATATATTATTATAAGACACTTTTCTTCAATCGTCGTTTTATTTTGCCACTTAATGATTATTGGAAAAGAATGATGATATAAAAGAGTTCTAAATATAATCCGATATTAACCTTTATTATTAGTTTTAAAAGTTGAATAGTAAACCTGCGCATATCTAAGATGTAAAAATATATATATTTTTAAAAGGTGTTTCTTTATATTTGTAATATATTTATCTTAATAACATAAATATTTAAAATATGTAAATAATTACCAAAATTCGAAACTATTATAGATGCGTATGATTCTTTTAAAAATTAAGCAATTTCCATTGTCCTTACTGCAATGAAAAAAAAATATTGGGAGAGTCTAACTCATCAGTGGTGAACTCTCCCAGCGGTTTCGCCAATTTAATTAAAACCGCTGTGAGGGTTCACAACTGATGAACTAGGCTCTCTCATTAATTTTTCCATTGCAGTAAGGGCAGTAGAAATTGTTTCATTTTAAAAAGTATCATACGCGTCTATAATAGTTTCGAATTTTCATAACAGATGGCGCACTAATGTATCATAAATAATTATCTGTATAAAAATATATATTTTTGATTTGTTAACGTGATACTTCTATGTTGAAGGGATGATAAGCCCCGAAAGCTAGAAAATTTAATTTATACGAGAAACTTTTAGCCCCCCCCCCTCCCTCTATGGGTATTATTTATTTCATTAAATAAATTGTTTTGAATAAAGAGACAAATATTTTGGTTGATATAAAACTCCATGATTACAACTATATTTTAAAGCTGAGAAAAGCGTTATATACATCAACAATTATAAAAATATTAAAGAATATTTATCGGAAAAAAAGTTTCTGTGATTATAGATCGGATCTGGATTCAATCAGGAAAGGGTTGCAGGATTCCGCTGCAGTTTCCTGTTAGAGAAATGGAGAGAATCAAGGTTACACAATGGTCATTTCCTGAATGGAACCATCGTTAATAATTAGATCATCCGCTTAATTTAGGAGTTCAATTCTCCATTACCGAGGGAATTCTAGTCTATATAATCCGTTTAGATTGATATCTTAAAATCTGTAGAAAACTATGAGGCAACTCTTAATATGTACACTGTTATATAATATGTTTAGGCCTTAATATTATGATCCATTTCTATGAATAAGTATTAATACTCTGTGAGTGGATAATCATCAATTTGTATGTTATTGTGTTCTTTGTTGTCAAAAGTAAACAATGTGAGGCTCCCTGTAAAAGGTTATGTAATAAATATAACTAATAATTATATTTGGCTCATTTATTAATAGAAGATTAATAACAAAAGGAAGACCAAAAATAATACATACACTGTGTGACAAGGAAATTGCTGAATAACTCCCCCATTACCTTCTTAATTGTACAGCCCTTGATGCAGAGAGGAAGGCCCTATATCAACGAATTAAATGTACCAACAATTCACCCTACGTATTGCTTTCAAAAATATCAGCAAAAAAATATAATGCATTAACGTATTATAAATGTTTAGATGAACATTATGTAAGGACCAGTCAACGAGTGAATGATTTTGAGATGAAGAGTAAAACCAGTCCAATTTCTATTTCACTACCTATGTAAATAACACAGGATGATTATTATCTTACCCAATTGGGAGAATATGTATAGGGCAAGTCCCTAATAAAGGCTTTTGTGTGTGTGTGTGTGCTATGAGGCAGAATACATTAAATCAATGTATTATGTTTATGATGGAATGTGTCACTACACGAGTTTGAATAACATTTTACCCAATTCGACTTATTTTATAATTCGTCTCGTAGGATGTTATGAAATCAAGCCGCCTATACTGATGATGGGCATAACACCCTTACCATGATATATGTGTTGACTTTTGTTTAAGTTTTCAAAGCATTTATATTAGTACTAGCCGAATAACCCGGGCAACGCCCGTGTTTTACCCGATTGAATGTTTTGATTCAAATACTATTTGTTACAATTATAAATTGTGGTCATGTGGCCTAGTGTATCATGGCATCTGCCCGGTAAGCGGAAGGTCGTGGGTTCGATTCCCATCCCTTGACACTTTTTTTATTTTATCCATTCTGACCAAATTCTATCCGTGAACTTCACACAGTGAACTTCACACAGACAGAATAAGGCAATTATATAAGTAGATATTATTTTTAACACATCTGCTTTCTGTATCTTCTAAATTGCAATAAAAAGGTGTATTATATTGTTTTGAAAATAGAGCAATCCATATTTAAATCATTAGATAATAAAAAGGCATATATTGGATTTAATAAAAGATTTATTTGCCAATATTTCGGCTGGCTATATTGATAATTATAACACTATCCGGCGCTGAGTTTGTTTATACAAAAATGGAATGCTTTGATATATTGGCAAATAAATATTTTATTAAATCCAGTATATGCCTTTTTATTATCTATGTGTATTATATGAGGCTGATTCAATATGTTTTAGGAAGGTATCCATAAAAATATTGAAGGAGTATAAACTTATTTTTTGTTTATTTTCTACATAATCACCGTCCTTTTCAATGTATATACTCTATTTTTTAACTAGCTTGTCAAATCCCTGAGAAATGAAGTTTTGAACTTGTTCCTTACACCAATATTGGGCAAATTTTACACCTCCAAATTCTTCGAGAATCTTTGTCCACGTTGAACAGCTTTAAGCTGTGTAAAAAGATGAAAGTCACAGGGAGCAAGATCGTCAATTTGTCATTTCTATATATAAAATTATATTGACATTTTGTATTGATTTGAGTCAAGAGGTGATCCAACAATTAAGATTATATAAAAGGGCGTACCTGGATCTGTAAAGAAAAAAAAAACATTTTTTTCTCAAAATATTTCGAAAGATTGCTCCCTCTTTATCAATTTATTGTACAGTAATTAAGTTTACTGTGCAATAAATTGATAAAGAGGGAGCAATCTCTCTATATATTTTAAGAATTTTTTTTTCTTTACAGATCCAGGTACGCCCTTTTATATAAATTTTGTATTGATGGCACTTTTTTTTTAAATATAAATGTTGATCCTTATCATTTAGGTTTATATATATATATATATTATATAGATAGATGGGGGGTCGGTGGAAGGCTGGTTAAACCGTTTGGTTTACGACCACTACGACCCGGGTTCGATCCCCGCATTGGACACTTTTTTCTGTTTAAAAAAAAAAATGCTCCAATGGCCCCCCGATTCTTGCAAAAGTCCAACCCCACCAGCGAGTGCAAGTAACCAAACGGGGCTCTGGCACATTTGTAAGTGCAAAGTCGAACTGCTTTCACATGTGTAGACATGTGGTGCGCTTACAGTAAAAAGCAGTCGCTAACTACCCACCATGATTATCATGGCCTGTACCACGTGTACTAGGGATAAGCAAAATATATATATATATATTACATTAACTCTATATATATTACATTAACTCTAACTATAAATACAAGTATACATTGTATATACATAATTATTTCTTTTTCAAGTTACTTTATTTGAAAAATTCGCAGGTGAAGAAACACTTATAATTGGTTCAAGGTGTAAGGTTACTTAGCCCTTATTACCGACCCAACGTTGGGCGCCATACTATTGACATAATTACAGATGAGCTCGTTAGATAAACCCAATTGACGAAGAAATAACTCCTTATATGGAGTCTGACTGTGAAATATTTAATATTTGTCCTACTAGATGGCGCTCTGATATCTAAAATGTTCATGTGAGCGGGGTCAGAATATTTTTGTTGTTTTAATATATATACTTGTATATAATGATTTCATCATTTTATTATAATTCCTTGGTACAGAATACAAGTATTGTTAAGTACCCTAAGGTTGATCTTTATTTGCGCTGTAACACCCAGGTTTTTAAAAATAAGTAAGCCTTAATGTAGATAGTTTTTACAATTTTTTTAAAGTTATAATTTATAAAAAAAGAGAGAATATATTCTCAAAATATATCGTAATCCTTATATTGAGCTTAATTTCAATGAATTGATCTTATATTCATAGCCTAAACTGTTCGACCATTTGTATATTCAAATTTCGCATTGGCAAACATGCTCTAGTGAAGGTTCTTTGTATATTTTTTGTTGTTTTATAATATGCCTTTTCTCCTCCATTGAGTGCTCCATTTTACACTGTTATATAATGTGTTTAGGCCTTAATATTATGATCCATTTCTATGAATAAGTATTAAGAAATACTCTGTGAGTGGATAATCATCAATTTGTATGTTATTGTGTTCTTTGTTGTTAAAAGTAAACAATGTGAGGCTCCCTGTAAAAGGTTATGTAATAAATATAACTAATATTTATATTTGGCTCATTTATTAATAGAAGATTAATAACAAAAGGAAGACCAAAAATAATACATACACTGTGTGACAAGGAAATTGCTGAATAACTCCCCCATTACATTCTTAATTGTACAGCCCTTGATGCAGAGAGGAAGGCCCTATATCAACGAATTAAATGTACCAACAATTCACCCTACGTATTGCTTTCAAAAATATCAGCAAACAAATCTAAGGCAATAGTTAATTATACATTTTTTAGATCACCATTATGTAAGACCAGTCAACAAGTGAATGACTTTGAGATGAAGAGTAAAGCTAGTTCAATTTCTATTTAACTACATATGTAAATAACACAAGATGATTATTATCTTACCCAATTGAGAAAATCTGTATGGGGCAAGTCCCTAATAAAGGCTTTTGTGTGTGTGTGATATGAGGCAACTTTTCCCTTTTAAAATACATTGAATCAATGTATTATGTTTATGATGGAATGTGTCACTACACCAGCCTGAATAACATTTTAACCAATTCGACTTATTTCATAATTCGTATCGTAGGTTGTTATGAAATCAAGCCGCCTATACTGATAATGGGCATAACACCCTTACCATGATATATGTGTTGGCTTTTGTTTAAGTATTCAGTTTTATATTAGTATATTCTTTTTAGCACATCTGCTTTCTGTATCTTCTAAATGGCAATAAAACAGTGTATTATATTGTTTTGAAAATAGAGCAATCCATATTTAAATCATTAGACAAAATCAATTTCAGGAATATGGTAAATGCCTTGAGCATATGTTAATAGATTCTCCCTCTCTCTCTCTCTCTCTTGTGTTGCTTTCCTTTGGGCGCCAGTGTCCTTGGCGGGACATCGCGCTTTGTATTTACAGTTGAATAAAGTTGAATTAGATAATAAAAAGGCATATATTTGATTTGATAAAAGATTTATTTGCCAATATTTCATTTTGCTATAATGATAATTATAACACTATCCGGCGCTGAGTGTGCATATACAAAATTGTGATGTTTTGAAATATTGGCAAATAAATATTTTATTAAATCCAGTATATGCCTTTTTATTATCTATGTGTATTATATGAGGGTGATTCAATATGTTTTAGGAAGGTATCCATAAAAATATTGAAGGAGTATAAACTTATTTTTTGTTTATTTTCTACATAATCCCCGTCCTTTTCAATGTATATACTCTATTTTTTAACTAGCTTGTCAAATCCCTGAGAAATGAAGTTTTGAACTTGTTCCTTACACCAATATTGGGCAAAATTTTACACCTCCAAATTCTTCGAGAATATTTGTCCACGTTGAACAGCTTTAGGTTGTGTAAAAAGATGAAAGTCACAGGGAGGAGCAAGATCGTCAATTTGTCATTTCTATATATAAAATTATATTAACATTTTGTATTGATTTGAGTCAAAAGGTGATCCATCAATTAAGATTATATAAAAGGGCGTACCTGGATCTGTAAAGAAAAAAAAAACATTTTTTTCTCAAAATATTTCGAAAGATTGCTCCCTCTTTATCAATTTATTGTACAGTAATTAAGTTTACTGTGCAATAAATTGATAAAGAGGGAGCAATCTCTCTATATATTTTAAGAATTTTTTTTTTTCTTTACAGATCCAGGTACGCCCTTTTATATAAATTTTGTATTGATGACACTTGTTTTAAATATAAATGTTGATCATTATCATTTGAGTTTTATATATATATATTATATAGATAGATTATAATGTATATTATTTCCTAGGTTACCTTGTACGTAGTCAAAAAAGATTGAAAATAGTTCAATTGTACTGATTTTACATAAACTTAACTATAAATGCAAGTATACATTGTATATACATAATATCTTCTTTTTCAAGTTACTTTATTTAAAAAATTCGCAGGTGAAAAAATACTTATAATTGGTTCAAGGTGTAAGGTTACTTATCCCTTATTACCGACCCAACGTTGGGCGCCATACAATTGACATAATTACAGATGAGCTCGTTAGATAAACCCAATTGACGAAGAAATAACTCCTTATATGGAGTCTGACTGTGAAATATTTAATATTTCTCCTACTAGATGGCGCTCTAATATCTAAAACTGTTCATGTGAGCGGGGTCAGAATATTTTTGTTGTTTTAATATATATACTTGTATATAATGATTTCATCATTTTATTATATTTCCTTGGTACAGAATACAAGTATTGTTAAGTACCCTGAGGTTGATCTTTATTTGCGCTGTAACACCCAGATATTTTTAAAAATAAGTAAGATTAACTTGAGATAGTTTTTACAATTTTTTTAAAGTTATAATTTATAAAAAAAAGAGAGAATATATTTTCAAAATATATCGTAATCCTTATATTGAGCTTAATTTCAATGAAATGATCTTATATTCATAGCCTAAACTGTTCGACTATTTGTATATTCAAATTTCGCATTGGGAAACATGCTCTAGTGAAGGTTCTTTGTATATTTTTTGTTGTTTTATAATATGCCTTTTCCCCTCCATTGAGTGCCTCCCTAGGTGGCAGATAGGGGAATGTCTCCCAGAAATGGGTGGTACCAAGGAAAATGAAATACTCGGGGTAGTACAAAGGCTAGAATTTTCTTGGAGCCCTGTCACAGTATCAGCCAATAGTAGTACATGGTCTCACACCTACAAGAGATGAAGAGGATGGCGGAGGACCAGAAAGTAAGAAGAGACCATGTGGCCCACCTTCTGTAGAGGAAGGTATTGAAGGAGG